TCATTGATTAAAACTTTATCACCATTAATCACATTCCAAATGAGTTTTATTTGAAAACCCGTTTTCTTAATAACTTACTGTATAAACGAACGCTGATGGTTAGCCAGAATTGAACTCACACAACGCTACACAGTATTTTCAACGTCGCCACTTGCATATCGTTCCGCCAAGCAAGTAGCCAGCGCATTTTCTTTTTGTCACCCAGTATACAGAATCCATAAGCCAACAAACGACATATTCGGACGCAGTTACGCATTTGGCAAGCGCAACGAACAGCAAATGTACAGTCAGCCAAGAGACTACGCTACATTTTTACACAAAAACGTGTTTTTGGTCGAAAAGGGGGGCACACTTATCTTAGGAAATGCATTATTTTCAGTTTTGTGTAAAGAGCAAGATTTCAACGCTAAATTGTATGTATTTATATGTATGAAAATTTAAAAAAGATATACAAAAGAAGTATAAACAACCACTTGTGCTCATATGCTCGTAGTGCGTAGGTAACGTATACGCCTCGTAGCACCATACGCAATCTTCTGATACGTTTACTCGCACGCTTTAACTTAAAAGCCATAAACATAATTTAAAAGTAATTAAAAATTTTTGTTCAACATTTTGTTTGTGCTTATTATTTCTGGAACTCCATTGTAAGAAATATATGCAACAATAATACCTTAGAGTTTTTTGTTATCTGACGAGAGAAGAGCTCGTGAAATATGCTTATTCACTTCGCTACCAGCGTGTTCGAGGCTGGATTAATTAATTAATTAATTAAAGAATTTTTTTTATTAAACAAATGCCGTCATTTTTCGTAGATCAATGTTAGAAGGTCACTCTTTATAGGCGATTCATGACTATCCAGAGCACGGGACGATTTACCGGCGCTCACTGGCAGGTTGACGGTTACCGAGAACCACATCGCACGACCTAATAGTGCACTTGTAAGTCGTCATGCTTACTCTCGCGTTTGCAGTCGAAACTTACCAAAGGTGGCACCAGTTACTGTTTGTCGAAAACTGGGCTTGAGCAAATGCCCTGCAGAAAGGTAGCGTGCACTGCTAAACACTATAATAAAGCGAGCGAACGCCAGCGATACCAGTACCATTTGCTTTAGAGTTTCTGGAAACCATCCAAACCAATTCCGTTCTGCTCCTCAGTCTGCTCATCACCCGGCATATAAACTTACGACTTGCTTTCGTAAATACTTTCCGCTTATCCGATGCTGTACAGTGGTTTTTCTTCACGCAGATCCATACGCTTTCCTGCAATTGAATTCTTTGTGACTCTCGACCACCTTTAAATTCTAGAACTCCTCACTTGCCTTGTCTATATTATGATACAAATTAAAAGTCGTATCCAAGTTTGTCCTACACTGAAACTATAACGCTAGCCAGGTGCTCAAATTCTAAACTCTCGAACGGGAGTGTCCGCCTGCAGCTCCCAGACAGAGTGTATGTACTTAGGCTTGATACTCTCGGGGAAGCCTAACACTGAGTGAAGGGCGAGAAAAGCGTCAGTTGCTTTGTACTGCTGTAGGGAAGCTAATTCTGATAAGTGGGATCTCTCCCCCGAAGTGATTTATTGGCTCTATGATAACGTAGTTAAGTATATCTTGTTTTACGGAACCCTTGTCTGGTGGAACTTATTATAGCAGGCTCCACTTGTAGAGTAACTGGGGGTGCCGAACATCGGTGAAAACTACGTGGCTGATGACTGCCAAGGACATGCACGTTTAAAACGTTCTTACCAGATATGGGGCAACTAGGCACGCCTCAGTCCTTCTGCGGTACACTCTTCTACGTTTGGGATCCGTGTAAGCGTAGTGGGCACTCGGCTTGTCAGGCCAAAGTATCATCTTTGCAAAATGGTACTTTAAGAACAGGTTTTGTTGGCTGTTGAGGGAAAGCACAGTGCAAAAATAGACTGTGTAATTGCACTTGGATAACTAATACTTTTTAGCTATCCAGAAACTGGTACGTAAAGCCTTCCGAAATGCTTAACTTTTTATAAATAAATAGACTAAGGTTGGCGTCACCTTTTTATTGGCATCACACACAGCCGTGTATGTGTGAACAGTTTCAAGCAACAGTTGAAGGAAAAACTGAACCCAAATTATTGCAACTATGCTCTTGCCACCCGCCACATGTTGTTGTAAGAGGCAGCAGCCGCGAAACAAACAAGAAAATTTAATTTAGGGCATGGAGCTGTTATTGTTAATGCTGTCGCTTCCACTGCACTACACGCTACTACTGTTATTATGTAGTATTCCAGCATGTTATTGTTTTTGGTATCGTTGATATTGCAAAAGTGAGTAAATACTAAGTGCATACCTAGCTATGTATGGCTATAGCTAACGCGCAAAGTGAAAAGCGAGCTTCAGTTTCCACAAAAGCATCACAAAATAACAACAGTGCGCAGCAAACAACAACAACTCGTATAAATAAATTGGTGGCAAAAGTTGAAACTTAATTTGCGCATGAATTATGTGCTCCGATGCCATTGGTGCCGCCGCTCGACGTACATACGCTGTTGCACTTTATGTATACACATTGTATGTATGTGATGCAAGCGAAGCAAGTCCTTTCAAGGAAGTTGCCTGGAGAGCATGCAGGATGTGTGTGTGTGTGTGTGTGTGGTGTTGCGACACATCGGCAACGTAATGCGCTTGTAGTTAAGCATTAAAAGTTGTGCTGTTGGTTGGCACGTGTGGCGATTTACGAAACTTTCTTCGCTCACACACTCACCAACCTGCTACACATTTGCTGGTATCAATTTGTGTGTGTGTATGTGATGGCATATATCTGTACAAAGGACGCACTGCATGCGTTAGTCTGGTTGCAAGCGTCCGGTGCCCACTCCTGATTTATGCGTTTGTTCGTAAAACCCCGACATTCTTCGGCTACTTTATTTCACTTGTTATAATTGTTGTTTGTTTTTGTTTGTTTTCGTTTCATTTTTGCCGAGTTTTAAGCTCATTTTTCGGTTAATTAATTTTTTAACAAATCGTTTTATTACAATTACTGGTTGTGCTCGGCTTCATTATAGTGTGTTTGAGTGTGTGCCAGGTAGGTTTGCTTTCGTTTACGAATGCTTGCAACAACATGGCAGTATATTATGAACAGGAGTAATAAACCATTGTTTGGACAAATTATGTTATTGCTCTCTGGACAGATAGACAGCTGCTGGATATAGGAAAAGTTATTGTAGGGAAGGTGTGCATCGCAAAATCTGGCATTATTAAAAAAAAAGTATATATCCCAGTAGAATATTAAATCTTTTGGCATACAACAGCTGCCGCTGGCTTGGCCCGGTCATTGGAATAGACAGCGACGCTACCAGCCTTGAAAGTATTCAACTCGGAACCCGCTGGTGGCAGCAGAGGTAGAGGAAGGAACAAAATCGGTAAGGCAATGAAAATAAAGAATTTTTTCAGAATTTTCTTTATCCTAAAAATTTCGTTAAGATTTCGGGAACTTTAGTTTGCAGGGCAGAATCAAATATAAAATAAATAATAGTTTTCCAATATTTTAATTTGATTTATTATTCGATAAAAAAAATCACTTACATGTTCGCAGGCCATCAAGATATTTTTTTATTATTTTTATTTAAAAAACTAGTAAAGGGAAGACGCTTTAATCACTAAAAGGAAATGTATTACAGGAACAACTTAAATTCATTATTGAGTTGATTTACTAAAGTACAAATTTTTAAAACTTTAAAAAAGTTTTACTTAAAAAATTTATATTAAACTAGTATCAATAATTTTGCATAAAAAAATGAAAAATAAGCAATTAATTTCTAAAATTAGAATTATATGGGTATTCATGGAAGCGCGTAAATGCATCGTAACCGCGTAAACCTCGTCTAACAAACCGTTTTTCCATATAAAATCAAGTAAGTTTACGAGGTTTACATGGTTACGAGGCATTTACGCATTTAGATAAATTTCCCTATAATAAAACTGGGCAAAGTTTGTCGCCTTTCAAAAATACAGCTTAAAAATAATGCATGAGAATACCACTTAGTACTGATAATAAAAGCTAACTAAAAAGGAAAAGAAATAAATTTATGTACGTCGCATGCAAAACGGTAACCAAAAGATGCAAGAAACGTCGTTTTTTGAAAACTTTCTGACATCAACAAATATCTTTCTAAAATATTAGGCGTGTTCTCTAAGTCTTGCAAAGCCTTTGCGCGTTGTGCGAATTGCAAAGTTTTCCCATAGGAACACCGGTTTGCCGTGAAAGGGTTTTGAATGGCTTAGAGAATACACCTATTGAAAAAATATTGCCTTTTTTACGAAAAAAAAACAAATATTTTCTAAGATTTTTTTTTCTAATTTTTGTACTAAGAAAAAGCTAAGTAGTTGGCTAAAACTCAAGCATTTTGAGATCTTTGGAAGCATATAACACTTTCTATTCATACAAATGCTTAAAAATAAATATTTACTTAGTTGGTATTTTTTTGGCAAAAATATTTTTGGTCTTTGGTGGAAGCCGTAGTTGGTATCATATATGTATGTATATAAATGTCTAAAAATACTCCTACTGCAATACATTAACTAACTCTTACTTTTACTATTATTTGCTTGCTAAACTTAAAGCTGCATTGTACGATGCTTCTAGCGGAGCAGTGATTTAATTATCATTAGTTCGAAATCAGCTGATGCCGCCAATGCCGCTACTGCTGCCGCTAATGGCATCCTCCGATACCAAATTGATTGTGCCGCAAACTATGTGTTGGATTGTAAATGTATGTATGTATGTATGTATGTATGTATGGTAGAGTGTGCACGCCAGTATGCGCTGCAACACTAAATGAAACTCTGCAAATAATCCATCTCGAAATTATTTGCATAATCCGATTCGGCATTGCTGCTATCGCCGCCGCCGCCACCGCCACCGCCACCGCCACCGCCGTCTTCATTGCCCCCACTAGACATTTGTGCCACTCCGCTGCTTTGTCCATTAGCCGCTTTCGCCTTGCGTTGCATTGTTTATTTAGGCTAATGGCATGTTTCGCATTGGCGGTGCGCTGGTTGGCTGCAACGGCATCGCCATCGACCACGGCGTCGGATTTATCTCATCGCCGCTGGGGCTATCGATTTCATCCCCACAATCGAATGTTTCGGCCCACATACGCTTTACATACTCGAACGAGACAAACTCTTCCGCTGATGGCTGTGGTGGCGGTGGCGGTGCGGGTGGCGGTGTAGCGGGGCTATGGCCATCGCCGCTAATTTTGTTGCTCCCTCCTGCCTCCTTAGCAGCCAAATCGGTGCGTTCGGTCTCCTCACTAATATTGCTAATAGCCGTCAAATTTACGGCATTTCTATGAGACATATATTTGTTGCTATTCGATGTTGTATGCCACATAAGTGCATGTGCTGCTGTTGCATTTGTTGTTGTTGCTGTTGCTTTTGCACTCGGCTTTATTGACTGTTTGCTGGCACGGCGGCCACTATTTGCAGCTTTCGGTTTCAACAGCAAAAAATTTTTAAGTTCGTTTAATTGATTGATGCGCTCAGTGTTGCTGCCGCTGCTGCTGCAATTGCTGTAGTTGTTGTTGTTGTTGTTTTTGATTTTGTTGTCATTGCTGAGCACACTCAACGCATCCATTTCCTGTTCCTTGCACGTTGCATATGAGCTGAATGTGTCCGGGGGCTTGTTAATGGCCTCATTGCTGCCGCCGCCACAGTTGCTATTGCTGTTGCTGTTGCTATTGTTGTCGTCGTTGTCGTCATCGCTGCAATCAATTGAATTCTCATTCTGATTGTGTTCGATGGTCACAATGCAATTTGACAATTCATTAAAGTTCATCGAATTGTTTTTGCAATTACTCGCGCTAATGTTGTTGCCACAGTCACTTTTGTTGTTGTTGTTGTTGCTGTTGTTGTTCACATTGTTGCCACTCGCATTACTGGCGGTAACAAATACTGTGGGCATGTCGCTAATACTCAACGCATTATTGGCATGTTGCATGATCGTAAAGGGCATTGGTGTTGACGTTTGGCAAACGTTTGTTGTTATTGTTGGTAGGGTTGCTGCAGCTGTTGCTGTTGTTGTGGCGTGTAATTTCACAGGCCTCAACATTTTTGTTGTTGTATCAGTTGATATTGTCATTAACTCAACGTGGTTGTCATAATAACCGCACTGATTATTGCTATTGCTGCTGCAGCTGCTGTTGTTGTTGTTGTTGTTGTTATTGTTGTTGCTGCAGTTGTTAGTCTTGCTATTGTTGTGGCGTGTTGATATTTCACTACAACTGTTGCTGCGTTGTTGTCGCGTATACTGTTGTGGTTGCCTTGTTTCAAGTTGCTGTTGTTGTAGTTGCTGTTGTTGTTGTTGTTCTTGTTGCTGCTGCTGCTGTTGACTCAATGTATTATTCATTAATTTGCTGCCAATTAGTGTCGTTTGCGCAAATGCCTTTGCTGTTGTTGATGTTGACATTGACGTTGCTGTTGTTGCTGTTGTTGTTGATGTTGTTTTTGTTGATGTTGCTGATGCCGACGCGCCAGTTGTTTTAGCTGTCGCATTGACCAGTGATGACTCCGAGTGTCGCCGCATTTTAGCTGTTGTCGCTTTGCTAGCGCCATTGTTGACTTTTTTGCAGCCGCTAGCCGCACTCGCCGACTTTCGACGTCCCAAGTGGCCATTGGCATTGCGCAGCGCGTGGTTTTTGACATGCTTCCGCAGGCTGGAGGGATCCGTGTAGCGCTTCGTACAGCCGGGCAATTGACACGCATATGGTTTCTGCAAGAGAATTAAAATCAAGCTAGAGTACTTTATTTAAATACTTTTTCTAGTTACGATAATAAAAAATAACCGTAAACAGAACTTTTTCTTCCTTTTTTAAGGACGATTTATTTCGGAACAAAGTATGCACGTAGCTAAGTCGGCGCTTAAAATATCAGCATCACGGGCCACCCTCTGTTTTTGTTTTACTTACAAAATAAAATCATCCACGAAAGTTTAAAACTTAAAAGAAAAAAATCCGTTCACTACAAGGGTTTGCAAAAATTTGTTTTTTTGTATCGCAAAAATTCTACAAGGTTTTAAATTTTACGAATTTATGATTAATATGTAATAAGTACATAGCTCTGGTTTTAGCTCTTAGAAAAACTAAGCTTCCTCTGGATCTGCAGAGTTTTAACCACATTCGAAACGAATTTAACCAACTCCATAAACAGCTCCTGAGACAAAACATATTTACCTCCCTTAACTAGGGTGCGACCTAAACTAAATCCATCCCCATTCTGGCATTAAACAAATTCTAGGCGCCATTCGACCGGCTTTAATAATAGATTTTAATATAATAGCTGCGTGTCTAAAACTAGGCAATCAACTTGCAGGCGGATCTCTTATAGGCGGGAAAACAAGTAGTTGACCATCGGTGTCCTCTTAGGGGAGCTTAACCTGTAATGAACTTTAAAAAAAAAAAAAAGCTTATCTCGAATATGTTTTTGGTTCGGGCAACCATAAAATGGAATCCATGGCGCACACATACTATGTATGTATTTAAACCATTTTAAGCAGTTCATTGCATACTGTTTTCAGGCCAAAAACGGAACAAATTTAAAACTTATTTTTTTTTCTTTTAGAAGGTAATTTTAAAGGTCGTTCTATTTTTTATATTTCGAGGAGACTACTCTTCTGAAATCTGTTTTCGTTTTCGTTCTCGAAATATAAGATTTTGTTAGGGAAAAATTAATTTTTCAGACTGCTATCGTTACTAAAGAACACTATTTATAAGGTGATTGACTCGGTTTCTCAGCCAGTTTTTTGAATATTTTTAGATGGTCTTTTAATATTTTTTTCGAATACGGGGTAAACCGGATACTTCCGGTCTTCATATACCAGAATATGAAAATTCGAAACTTTTATTTTGTTTAAACTAGGAAATTTCTATTGATTTTATACATATAAAAATTAGAAAATTAGCACAGCATTCTAAATATGAATTAAATTGGATCATAAATACTATCAGAAAGAATTTTAGTGGAGTTATTCCTTTTCATGTAGTTAATATACGTTCTAAATATGAACAAAATCGGATTATAAATACGGGTTTTTTAAAGATTTCGACTCCTGTGCCACCTATCGGATTTCGTGAGCCAACTGTGAAGTTTCAAGTGTCTAGGTCATCAGGAAGTTGGTCAAAAGTTGATTGCAAGATTTGCCCCTAACAAACATGCATGGAATTTAATGATTGAGATTTGACTACGGTGTTGATTGACTCTTAATAGTAAATGACCTGTTTATAAAACAATATATATATGATGTAGGTCTGATTCATCGGAGGGTGTATTTAATTTCATACCCAAAAGACAGTCGGTTCTACATGTTCGAATTTTTTCCGACAAGGAACTTTTGTTCTAGCGATCGAACCTTGTAAAGATCGGTGAACCACATTATGTGTGAATTTTGTAGTATAAGGCTTATTTCACTACTTATCTATTTTATTTATTTAGTACAAAGTAAGATAACCTTTTAGTACCTAAAGACCGGCAACTACGGAGTTCCATATGTATGTTTGTAAGCACAGGTCATAGAGTTATGTGTACGCACAAGAAGCACTAAAAGCGGTCACAACATAATATCAAAACAACAACAAGGAAAAAGAACGAAACATTGCCTACTCCGCAATAACAGCTAGTACACGCCAACTATGCAGACTATGCTCATACGAGGGGGCATGTCCTTTAGCAGTGAAGCCCGTGTTCCAACTTGAAAGAGGCACTGCTATCTAATGCTATAGTAGCCATAGTAGCGACAACTATATATGTATGTATAACAAAAGCAAAAACAATCATTGTAACTTCACCAAAACGTAAATCATTTAATTTTTGAGAAAGCATTTGCAGCAAGTGCATATGGCTGACGCTAGTCAAATTTTACTCGGCAGTAAATAGCAACCACTACAACCTAAATTAAGTAGAATGTATTATATTAGTGCGTGTATGTATGTATGTATGTGCCAATCTATGTTTGCATGCAAGGTTTGTGGGCTAAGAGCTTTGCTGTGTTGTGTACACCCTCCAACCATTGCACCGATAATTTCCTATTCAAACACATGCGCTGCTCAATGCCACGTGTACATATGCGTACATACATACATATCTACATGTTGCCACAACAATGCTGCTCTGCCTGTCATGCGCTTTATGCTACATATTATAGCTATTCACAAGCAACTTATGCACATTTTCTTATTATTGTTGTTGTTGTTGTTGTTGTTGTTGTTGTTGTTGTTGTTGTTTGTGTGCTCGATACTGCTAATAATTTAGGTTTTGTTGCTGCCATTCTGTGGCCGCACACGGGCACATATGTATGCACTAATATGTACAACAACAATACAAACATACTGCAGCGCATTGATAGTTGCATGTTGCAGCGATAAATCAAATAAACAGCCAAACTTCAGAATAACCAACGAAAACAGTATGGCTGCAACACCAGTCACATGCAACTAAATATACACAACAACAAATAAAACACTTTTTCAGCCACCGAAATTCACTTTGTACTACTCTGCTGCCGTAATTTTTGGTTTTATTGCAGAAGCGCTGCCTCAGCTGCCAACAACTACAATGTACATATCAGAGTATGTGTGTGCATGTAGAGAAGCTGCTTGTGTGTACAATTACTAAGCATTGCCAGGAACATAGCAAGTCCTGCGCTTGCTGTTACTTGCCGCAGCCACTATTCACCCCCCTTTGGTGTGGCTTTCTGACAGCCTTGCTGCTGTAGCTACTGCTAGCTGCTGAGTGCTTTCTACTATCGCCACAGCCACCTCCGCATTTATTGCCTTGTTGCAGACTTTGTTCGCTCTAATTCACAGCGATATGTGTCTTTACGAGTGTACTTTCGCATTTGTATGTCGTCGTATGTACATTCGCATGTGTTCACTGTTGCTTTCTGTCAGCTTTTGCTGATGAATTTCGCAATAAAGCATATGTTGTTGATAGGTCAATAGCGCAACACCACTCACGGCTTGACTTAATTTGTTGCAAATTTTGACAGCGAAAACAACATTTCGGCGAAAGAAAATAGTTTGCGAAAGCTTTCAACTTGTTGCCACTTTGTTATTGAAATCTTGACAACTGAACTACAGAAATCTACTCGAATTTGGACTTATTTTGAATTTCAATGGATGGAAAGTAAGTCTTTGTTTTAAGAAATGTCTGGAATTTTTGTATTCCGTTTTCATTGTAGTTGAGTTAATGGCATCGAACGGAGTACGCCGAACACTAAATCAATAGGTCGCAATAGGTGTTTTAGATGTGGCTGCTAGGCTAGAGGTATGTAATTGTTATTAACAACGGGTCAGCTAAGACTTTCTGAAGACTGGAATTGAAAAAAGGTCACTCTTTAATCTTAACAATAGACAGAGTAGTGGGTAAAACAAAAAAGTGGGCAGTCTTAAAAAATGTTACATATATACATTAGGGCGGTCCAAACAAAGTAAGGTCGGATTTTTAATGCTCCCACTCAAGAGGATTGTTCTATATCAAAAAATGTATTTCCCTGTGTTTTTATTTTGAAATCCAAAAATATTTACAAAGCGCTCAAAGCTTTCCATTTAGTATGTATTTTATATGGGAAAAAACAATTCTTCTGATAAATGGTATAGAATTCTTGAAAATTAATATTTTTCGATCGGAAACTTTGTTGCTCTTCCCGAGATTTTCAATAGTAATACCCAATTATTTCTTTAACAATTTCCAAGTATTACCCACTTTTTATAGCATCCTTAAAAACACTAAAAATTGCCAGTATTACAAAGTGGTAAAACAAAAAATTAGATATTATTATTGCAAATCGCCTGAATAGAAACAGAGTTTCTGATCGAAAAAAAGTTTTATTTCGCATATAAAATACATGGAAAACTTTGAGCGCTTTGATCGGCCTCTAAATATTTTTTGATTTCAAAATCAAAAAACAGGGTATATAACAGTATAGAACACGCCAATAAAATTCCCACTTTTCTTTTTCACATGCAGCTTTTGACCGCCCTAATATACATACATATTCTGGATAATTTTACATGCAACCGAAAGCTGCTTGTAATATATGAAATACCGTTAATGTTAATGAGGAACTACTATTGGGTCAAATTGACACAAATTCTTCAGAAAATGTATGTACTTTTAATAAGCAATCCAAACACAAATGAAGCTTACAAACAGCGACAAAAAACCGAAAGCTGCAATTTTAAAAATTAAAAAACAATCAAACCAAATTAGATCAATTTAATTAAATAAAAATTTAAACAAAAAAAAATATGTTTTTAATTTTTTATTTGTCTTATAAACTTTTTTTATTTATCTTATAATATTGTTTTATTTTATTTTGTTTAATTTTATTTTATTTTATTTTATTTTATTTTACTTTACTTTACTTTATTTTATTTTATTTTATTTTATTTTATTTTATTTTATTTTATTTTATTTTATTTTATTTTATTTTATTTTATTTTATTTTATTAAACGATTTAACTTATTTGAATCAATATGCAGATTAAAAATATTGCATTGTCTAACTTTATATAATATTTTTCGCCTTTCTTCAATAAAAAATGCACTTCGTTTAATTCCCTTTGACATACAAAACTAAAGGCCGGGGTCTTCATAGTACTTGTTTCAATATTCACAAATATCTGTGATTGAAGCATTCTCTTCATGTCAACAAACACCAGAAATTATAACATATCTGTATAACTTAAATTTAGAGGTATTTTTTTCACAATTATTTATGTATGTAAACAGTTTAAAATTCTTTTTGATATTGAATATCATAAAGGTACTGTACATATTTTCACTCACCGTATCATAGTGTGTCCGCTGATGCTTCGCTCGATCCGAACTATTGCTGAACGCTTTGAGGCAACCTTCATATTGACAGCCATATGGCCGCTCGCCGGTATGCGAGCGTTGATGAATTTTCAAATTTTCTAAACGTGAGAATGCCTTGTTGCAGCTGGGAAACTGTAAACGGAAAATAAGAAAGCACAAAAATATAAATATAATAATAAAACCGCAGAAAATTTAAGTAGAAAAATTTCGTAGCTGTAGGCGGTTGTGCACCTCAATGGAACGCTTCATGCAATGAACAAACCTTCAATTGCATTCTCAACAACGGTAACAACGCACGCAGACAATCTAGAGTTCAATGAAAAAACACCTCCATTGGTGCCAAAGTAGTCACCCGGTGATCCGTATTGTCAGGGATGAAGGCGTAGCCTCCAGAGAACCTGGACGCGTCATCCAATGTGTGGCTTTTTTTTTGCGACGGCTTGTTCAATCGACTTTATAAGAGGGCCGGTGACGACCGCCCCACTCTTGATGTATGCATGTTGAGCTCCTGAGCTCGTCAGACGGATGCACTCTATTTGTTTAATATCATATTTATGTATGTATGTATGTAGTTATAATTTACACTTCTACAAATGCATGAGCTACACTTTGGGGCACAACAAGGTTGGAAAAGGATATGTTATTTGCTTACTTATTTTGTCTTTTATTTCTGTTTTATATTCGTGTCTTTGTAGCCGCGCGGAGAAGCAAATTGCTTGAAGCTGCTGGCACATCGACGCAGCGGGTGAAATGTGCTGAGGTCAGTAGACAAATGGCCTTGTAACATATGCTCCTCATGTGAAGTGCCTCTGTCATCAAGGTTTCTTTCTTTGCATTTCTTTACATTGGCATGTATAAACATTAGGGCGGGTCAAATTTTAACATTTTTTTTTACTATGTGCGTATATCATAGAAGAATTCTACGTGTAATTCTAAGCAAATTTGCCGAAGAAACCGCGGGTTTAAAGTAGTTTAGAGTTTGCAAAATTGCGAAAATAGGTTCCGAAGAAAATAGGTAAATGTTCACTGTTACGCTCTTTGGTGGAAGTTTAGGAAAACGATAAGTGCAGAAATGGATTCAAAAAATGTTGGTTCCCATTGGAGTTGGTTAAGACGTCTTCATTGGGTAATCAAAATTCAAGGACCACCCTAATGTACATATATACATAGATATACATACATATGTATGTATGAATATTTTTTAATCAAAATCCCTTCAAGCCTTTTCCCCACAAATATAGCATGTGTCACTTTTATTGCTACAAAAACAACTACTACTCGTATCAATACAAATGCCATCGCCCGCACAATTGACTGTACTCGTAGCTGGGTAAGTCGTCATTAGCGACGGGGAAAATATAAAATTCTTTTACTTGAGCGACAATTGTTGGAAAATAAATAAAATGCATAAAAAGAATATGCGTGAATAAACGCATGCATAAATGTGTGAATGGATTTCAATTCAGACGAGCACATAAAATAACCTTTTAACTTGCTTTATGATCTTCGTTTATTTTCCGTCTTTACGTATAAATTTAAACTTTTTAATACAAACAAACATTTATTTTCTGTCTAAAAATAGCAGCAACACGAATCCAATGACAGTCTACATTTAGTCAGTGTTCCAGTCTTGCCATCAAATTTTTTTCAACTATCGAATTTTCAATCTGAACCTTTAGAACATCTCCAGGTACGCATTTTTATAGTTTATATACATAATTTTAGTCTGCTGAGGTGCAAGTTTCAACCGGCAAAAAAATTCAGTTAATTTTTTAGTTTTTTTTTTGTGACTGCTTTTGCGTTTTCTTATATAACAAGTGCAATTTACAAAAGCTGGCTTATATGGAAAAAAAGTGCAAAAATCCGTCCGTGAAAAAAAAAATATTAAAAATCAACGCCGCTTGAAACACGTGGTCAATTGTTTGAGTCACTGTATTATGTAGCACATTTTATATGCAGAGATGGGTGCATGTGTATATTCATTGCTTTTAAATAAGCTTGCAGCTGTGCATTTATTTCAACACTTGAGTTTCAAGTCCATTGCCGTATATTTATTATACGATATGCATATTAGGGCCTATCACTCTCCATTAAAAAAAAAGCTACTGTTTTCCATTATAATTTGTTATATTTTAAGACTTCTTCCAAGATAGTTTGGAAAAATATTAAGATTTACGTGACTTCGACTGTTTTGAAAATACCTCCGAAAATCTTTTTATTTTGATTTCGTTGTCAAACATTTGTATGCAGACTAGTTAAGCTTAAACTCTTCTAACATCTTGAGAGATTTTTTTTCGAAACAATGTTCATTAAATTATTTGATTCATAAAAAAAATTATTTTTGGAGGTGTTTTCAAATCGGTCTAGCTCACGTAAATGTCAATATTTGTGTGAAATATTTGCCACGAGCCTAAAGATATAATAAATTTAAAACTTATTACCTCTTCGAGTGTGTTGTTCAGGCAGAGCACCAGGTACTTCACTTCGCTGTCGTCATCGACCACAAACTCATCCACAGTTATGATTCTTAATGCTTGACGAAGCTCTTTCCCTAATGAACGGAATCATGACAGTTTTAGTTTGATTGACTTTGAGTCCAAACTTTACACACATATCCTTCCGTTAGTGTTAGTGAAACCTTTTTAAATGATTGCGAGTACAATATTTTTGTTTTAATTTTTACTAGCACGAAGTCAGGTATTCGTAAAATAAATGCCGTCCATTGCACTGTTTTCGTGTTCCCTACACATATTTTTTGTCACTTATTCAAAAAGCATCTGCATCTTTTTCCTTCTTCTGTAGCGAAAAGTGCGACTCTTCTTTCATAAACAAAAGTCTGTGTCTTCAAACTCACATCCCTGGTAGAAAAGATTGAAATTCAGCAAACTAGCGAAAAATTGGAGCCTGATACAGAAGTAGCCACCTGCCACCTATATGTAGCTCTTCTCTTCAGAATTTTGGCGCTATGTGCCAAGGGGGCAACAGGAATTAAGAGTAAGTGGGATTATACAGGAATAGAAAACAACAGATCAGTGAGCAAGGAAAGTGTTAGACAAAACTTGAAGAAAAAAAATTACAAAGTTGATTAAATGGCCAAGGCATCAACAAAGGCTAGACAAAGTAATTATAATAGTTTCCGTAGGATTTATGGGAATTAGAAAAATTTTCCTAGGAGGTCTACCGGTATAGATAACCTAGGAACATTTTCCAATTTCTATAAATTGAAGACCTGAAAACTTGTAATTTGATCAGCTGGATTGGACTTATTAAAAACATAAAATCTAGGGACATTAAAAATTACAACTTTTATGAAAAAATCGCTTTATTTAGTTGCTCCTTAAAAAACTGTTATTTCTGACTTTTATTTTATAAATCCAAAATAAAAATTATTTTTGATTTTTATCTAAAGAATCTGCAATTAACAGTTATTTTTATTATTTTTGAATTATATGTCTTAGATAACAAATTTTATACGAATGCTTTAAAAAATAAAAGTCGGTGACTGATTTACATTGATGACTTTTCAAATTAAAAGTCTTCGATAACTGTTTAATAATTTATAAATCTAAAATAAGTGTTATTTGCAGATTATTTAGATAAAAATCAAAAATAATTGTTATTTTGGATTTATAAGATAAAAGTCAGAAATAACGTTTATTTAAAGAGTAATTAAATAAAAGTCAACAAATAACTATTAAAGTCTTCAATAACTGTTATCTAAGACATATAATACAAAAATCAAAAATAATTGCTAGTTTTTTTTTTAATTTTACATAAAAATTGCAAATCAAAATTTATTTTCAAATTTGAGTCTCGGTGAAAAAAGAAATCGATTTGTATGTATCACTTAGTTGTAGAACATTCCTTCATAGTGAATTACTCCATGACAGTTTTCATCAATAACTGTTAGGTTCGGTCCCTGGTGCCAATATCAAAACACACACCACGCCACAAACTCTTAGTAAAAGTGTAAGGGCCAAAATATTATTACTATTGTTGTTTCTTTGGAGTTCTAGAGAGTTTCAGTCACCCCAAATTTATATGAATCAATTTGTGGAACTAGACAAGTACAGCCTCGTCGGATGCTAAGAAAATTACTATATCGAGGACGATGCCAAATTTTTTCAAAAGTGCAAACCGAAAATACAAATATTTAATTTTGAAAACTCATCTAAGCCACCTTAACTTTACCCATTTTCCCTAAGTTTTAAAAATCGACTGATTTATTTCCAGTCCCATCCATCTAGTCACAGCATCAATTCACACCCATACGCACATACGCTCGATCAATTAACCCCATTGGCTCTAATACCCATCTAAGTATGAGTATTCAACTTACCGGACATTTGTTGGGCTTCTCGCCGCTATGCACGCGCATGTGTATCAAGAGCTTATAGCGCGCATTGAAGGGCTTATAGCGGCGCGGACAGTCCAGCCAAAAGCAAGAGAAATCATCGCGTTTTTTCGCATCCACATGTCGTTTCTCGATGTGCGTCACAAATGCCGCCTGGTTTGGGAATTCCTCGTTGCAATCAGTCCAACGACAGATTTGCAACTCATCGGCAAACTCTTCCACAGGCGCTGCATCCGCAATTTCTGCTTCTTGTTGCCTAATACCGCCAATGGCATCTGCGTCATAATTCTTGCGAATTACTGGCGTTGCAGTGTTGCGAGATGATTTGCATTTGGCACCAGCAACCTCATTGCTGGCATTGCCTGCAGTTGGTGATGTGTAACGACGTCGACGACGTGGCGGTTGCAAATGCAACTGTGTTGCTTGTTCTAAGTGATTTGTTGTGGCTGTGGCTGTGGCTGTGGCACACGCACTGGTGTGGAATACCGAATCGTTATCATCCTCATTTTCATCGACCTCGTCAAACACACGCTCATCACTTGCCACCTGTAGGGCAAAATCCAACGAATTTTCATCTTCAAAATAGCCAGCAATATCTACATCTACACCCTCGTCGCCGCTTATGTGATTGGACTGTTTGGCACTGGCACAGCACAGCTCGTCGATAAGCTCCTCATGCAACTCGTCCAGCTCATCGATGGTCCATATGATTTTGTGTTCGCGGTTGGGTTTTTCCGCATGCAACAAATTGCAATTCTGATAGTTCTCCGGCAAATGATCGTAATTTTGGGCTACTACAGCACCGGGTGATGCGGTTGCGGCGACGCCATAGCAGGACCATTTTTCTTGTTGCTGTTGCTGTTGCTGTTGCTGTTGCTGTTGCTGTTGCTGCTGCTGCTGCTGCATGCACTGCTGGTATTCTTGCCGTTGTTGCTGTGCGCTGATCTCATCGTTGACAAATGTGTAGTCATAGTTGTAGACAGACTCGTATTTGGGCGTACCGAAGGTGGACACCATCGAAGGCAGCTTGTTTGGCGTTTCCTGCTTAATCTCGTGCGCTTGTTGTGGCTGGTTGTGCGCGTCATACGGCTGATAGGTGTAGCAAGTATTGCTCGGTTTGGGCGACCGATTGCGTTGTGTATTAACGGCCGCTTGTTCTGCCGCCGCAGCGCCAGCAATGGTTTCGGCCAAATTGAGCGTCATCCATGGATCAAGCGGCGGCGAGGAGCAGGGCGATTGATTTTTCGATTGACAATTAATTTCATCGTAGTTGTAGTATTCGATGTCGAGGTTCAAATAGTCAGAAGTTAAAGTGGCTGCAGTCAATAATTGACTGCCGCTAAGGTCACAACTGTTGTTGCTATTGCTCTCGCTGCAGCTGCTTGTAATTCCATCTGATGTCAGTTGCCGCGGCTGCTGCTGCTGCTGGTAATTTCCATCCACTGTCATGCTGAAGCTGGTTGTCGTCGTCGGTGCCGTCGTCGTCGCAGCATAGGGGCTGTATGGCGTGTGCGGCGTAAAAGGCGCTTGTAAACTGTCTAACACGCCCACCAAGCCGCCACCATGCAACGCCTTCTCAGTAGAATTTACAAAGTTGTCACTCGTCTCACAATCGACGGATGTAAGGCGCGCAATATCCTCCGGCTCAAAGCGGAACACATCCTGGGTGTTACCGGTGCTGCAAGCTGGCTGCTTATGTTGTTGCTGTTGCTGTTGCGACATGACCGCATCACTATCACTGCAAAAGCTCACTGTTGCCGGGCTGTTGCCGCATTGATTGCCTGACGACACATAATCCAATGTGTTGTTGTTGTTGTTGCTGCTGCTGCCACCGTAAACCGAAGTGGGCGTCTCCNTTGCTGTTGCTGTTGCTGTTGCGACATGACCACATCACTATCACTGCAAAAGCTCACTGTTGCCGGGCTGTTGCCGCATTGATTGCCTGACGACACATAATCCAGTGTGTTGTTGTTGTTGCTGCTGCTGCCACCGTAAACCGAAGTGGGCGTCTCCACCATGTAACTGAGCGAAAAATCCGGAAAGCTCAACTCGGCGCTGGTGAAATCTGTGTAGTTGTTGCTGTTGTAGACTGCCTTCAGATTACAATTGGGCGCAAGGAATTCGGCTGTGTGGAGTCGCTGTTGCTCCTGCTGCTGCGGCTGCGGCTGCCGAGTTTGGAGGAGAGGGTGGTGATTTTGCTCTAATTCTTGGTGTGTATCCTTTTCGTGCTTAGCGCTGAGCGGCGGTGACATAAGTAGAGCGCAGCTGTTGGTGTTGTTGCTGTTGGTGTTGCTGCTATTAACATAATTATTGGGTGTCGATGCTATGGCATCCATGGCTGGATAAAGTGGTGAATAAAGTGGTGAAGGTGGTGGCAATTTAATTTGTGGCAACTTTGTGCAATGACTGACACTTTTGCTGCAGCTGTTGTTGTTGTTGCTGGCAGACCGATTAGCTGAAAATATCACTTTGGCTGTGGTCATGGGCGAAATGCTGAGATTAGGCGGACTCACTTTGAGCGTGGCAGACATGGCGAAGGCAAGTATGCGGCGAATTTCTTCACACGAGGAATTTGAAGAAATATTTTGGTTTTAAAAGTTTTTAAATCTTTTAAAAAAATTTATAATTTTTTTCTATCGATGAAAGTGTTTTAAGCGCACTTTACTCATTTTACTCCCACTTTAAGTTCTAAAGCCTTTCAATACTTTAAATTTCACAATTTCTCTGCATAAGTTTTCATTCATTCGTAGTCACTGTCATTGACCACTTTCCATCAAAAAGTCAAATGTAATTTCCCACTCAAATACTTATATATTTATGTCACTCGCATACAACAAGCTGTCTACACGGCGCAATAGCTAGCTAAGCACTCACTCACGCCAATTTGTTGTCTTTTTTTTTGCTGAATTTTGCTGACAAAATTCGCTCGCTCCTCAAAGGCGTGCGCGCGCTTATGTCGCGTGTCTTTTGTTGAATAAATAAAATCACTTTGGCGTGTTTAATTGTCACCTCTTGCAGCGGCACTCAGACTACCAGCACTTGTCCGTTCCACTTTATCACTATGTTTTTTTTTTTTTTTTGTTTCTTGGTTCTTGTTTGTGCTGCTAATTTTTTTGTCTTTGGTTTCGCTTTGCTAAATTTTGGCAACTACTGCCAAAAAAATCAGCCCAGTGCGCGCGGGAAATCCCAGTGACTTACGCAGTCCTATGTTGATGTTGGCTTTAAATTTCCGCCTACTAATATGTATTTTTTTAAATTATTATACAAACTACCAAATATTAGACATTTGGATTTATTTAATTTTTTTTTTTGTCTGTAAAATTTTTCTACGCCACTTTAAAACACCCGCCAGCGGTCACGTTTCGCTCGTTAATAAATCGGTGTGCATTATGTTGCAAGGTTTTAAATGCATGCAACAGCAGCGGTAATGTCTTCTACATGCTGCATACAAATAGCAGCAACAACAACGATTATATTAATGCACATGGGCGACAACTCACACTTGCCTATTTACATGCAGTGGCGCACACATCCAAACATATTTACACATGTTGGTGCATCCTGAGGATCTGCGCTGCTCGATCACTCCTTCGTCTTCCGTTGTAAATGCGACAGCATTTTGTTGTTGTTCGTGCAACTAAACTATTCACACTCTTTTTTGGTTCTCGCATTCATACATACATACATACATACATATGTGCGTCTTCAAATTGGATAAAGACACATTTATACTTAAACACATGTGCCACCCAATATATAGTAGTTGTTGTTTTTGCTGTTGTTTTTATCTCTCGCTACTGTTCACTTGCACTGCACTCCATTGCGCCTTGACTTTGTTATTTCTAAAATTTTAATTTCTCTTTTCTTCTTGCTTTCAGAATGCATTCAACTCGTCAATCCATTGCTGGTTCTGCTGCTTTTTTTCCACTAATTTTCTGTTATTTTAATTTCATCTAAAAGTAATAGTGTAAATCGCGTCCCTGCAAGAAATTAAACAAAATTGATGTTCCTCTGCGTACTCGCGAGTAGTCCTGGACAATTTTTTCTTCGTCGTTTCTTAAACCATTGTTCAATGCTTAATAAGTAATTTTTGGTTCTTTTGAAATTCTGGTAAGTGGTGAGAATAATTCTCATGAGAATAGGAATTCACTTTCATTCCACCGTCTAATTAGTACTAAGAATGGATATTTACTCCTATTTAGGTACTCAGGAGCTGTTAGATACTAAATTAAAAAAAAACTTCAAGGATTTAGCAGGCGCTCTGGTCCAAAATACTCGGGTACTTTGGAGATGTAAAATACTTTCGCTAAATTACTGAGGTATTTAGTAGATGCCTAAATATTAAAAAACTAAATACTTTATGATATAGGAACAATTCTAACAATAAACACCTTAACTTACGCTAACCTCACCACAGTTGAACTCAAAACACATAAACTAACCGAATCTCACTTAAACTCACCACAACTGAACTCATTCACGCCCGTTCTGACCACCCCTCACCTAAATTTACCACACCTCAACTCCTCTCACCTCAATTTGGAAACTATTTCGGTATTTTAGAGATTTTCGATATGCTCGGGACTAAATGAGGATTTTCAAAACTATTTCGGGAATCTCGGGACTATTTCGAGATTTTCTAGACTTCTTCAGAACTTCGGGGCCTACAACATGATTTTCGGGGCTATTTCGGAATTTTTGTAATATTTACCGATATTGATACCGATATATTTATCGATTTTGAAATCGTTATATATTTCTTGATTTTTATCGATATATTTATCAATATAATAATCGATAATTTTTTGATATATTTATCGATATAATAGTCGAGTTTTTTATTTAAGTATTTATCAATAAACCTATTTATGGATGTATTTGGTCACAAAAAACAACAAACTAAATAGTCCCTACTATCACGAAAATCTTGAAGTAGTCCCGAAAATCTTAAGTGAAACTAACTAAATTCTTTTAGACTAAGTATTTTGCGCGGTGAAAATAAGTAAATACTAGCATACTTGATAAATATTTAGTAACATCAAAAATACTTAAACCTGCGGTGGTGTAGTGGGGTATATCCCAGGCCTTGCGGAATGGTTGTGCGCATGATTTTCGGGGCTATTTCGGAATTTTTGAAATATTTACCGATATTGATACCGATATATTTATCGATTTTGAAATCGTTATGTATTTCTTGATTTTTATCGATATATTTATCAATATAATAATCGATAATTTTTTGATATATTTATCGATATAATAGTCGGGCTTTTTATTTAAGTATTTATCAATAAACCTATTTATGGATGTATTTGGTCTCAAAAAAAAAAAACTAAATAGTCCCTACTATCCCGAAAATCTTCCTTGAAACTAACTAAATGCTTTTAGACTAAGTATTTGTAATAATAAGTAAATACTAGCATACTTGATAAATATTTAGTAACATCCAAAATACTTAATCCTGCGGTGGTGTAGTGGGGTATGTCCCAGGCCTTGCGGAATGGTTGAGTGCACTTCTAACCACAACACCACAGTGGATCCATGGACGTTCAAATTGCTGGAGGATATTTTTCAAGAAAGAAAGAAAGGAGTTACAAGAAGGTATCCCGCCTTGACCTTTCAATATATCGATTGAGCTTGAGAGAGCCACTATTGATGATAGATAGATAGTTGTGTTTGAGAGGCAGGTTATTCACGATATCGCAGCCGATCCAAGTCAAACGAAAAGCGCAAAATACTACAAATCTATGTTTATATACATAGCAATAAACTATATATGTAATATAAGCGATTGAGTATTACAACTATTGGAGCGAAGGACATTGAAATTCAACTTATTTAGTATAGAAGAGAAAGTAACGTCTTGAAGTCGGCATAGTTGCATCAACTTAGATTCAACCAAATTATGGTTCAAATGGATATATGTAGTAAGATTAGCCACCCACAAAACCCTTTTTTTAAATAAGAAGATAATTGATAGAAATCACATAGGTAAATATGCGAATAATACAGAAACGTTTACGGCACACATTCCCTACAGGGCCAGCGCACAATACGTAGAAAATCACTAAGCGTAAACGCTTCTGCTAGAAGATCGGCAATGTGCCATGAACAGTGCGCGGGCATCGACAGCAACACCGGCACCAACAACGGCACCAACAACGGCGACAGCGATCTTGGCACACATGTTGCAAGTGTGTTTCGGGTTGACGACTGATGCATACGCAGCACACACTTGCCGCGGCGTAGAGCATCGCACAGATTGAACAAAAACGCCACACTGACACATTCCCACATTCGTTTACATAAATATACGCAATTTTGTCGAACTTTAACATCTCCGATTTTTGTTGTGCAATGTTTTATTTTCATTTCAATTTTACTACGAAAAAACATAAGCGCAAATTGTTTTCGCGTTTTTGTTTTCGCATTTGCTGCAAAAACTAGAAAATTTGTATACAATATACACAAGTATGTATGTATGTATGTATGTATGTATTTATGTATAGTTAAACTTTTTATGAAGTGTGAGGAAGAAATTGTTAGCAGGCAACGAGGAAGATGGGCCAGCGGTGCAATGATTGGTGTACACTCCAGGCACAGCAGTGCTGCACGCTTGCCAAACTACTCTATACTGCTTGCCACATGTGTGCATTGTTGTTCCGCTGCTTTCCTAGGCAGTTGGCGGATGATGGTTTTTGCCAAATCGCACTATCGCCTGTCTATTTTTAGCAAATCCTGCCACATTGATGCAACCACAGCCGCGCAGTTGTAGTAGCAGCAACACTCATGCTGCAACAACACGTTTGCCTTGCCTTGCCGTGCTTTGTTGTTGCAGCTGCAGAGCCGTTTGTGCATATATGTGGCATGCAACGCATGGGACAATGTGTTTTTAATTTGCTTGCGAAAATGCAATTTTTCTGCATTTTCCACTTCATTCCTGTTATTGTTTTTGCAATTGCTCTGGAAAGTGAAGAGACATACATACATACATAGCTAGCAATTTGTGTGTCGCATTGACACTGAAGGGGTTAAAGTGTTTTCCGGTTAGTGCGCCACTGCGAGGGGTTTGTTTATTTTGGCAACGGTGAGTCAGGTGCCGCAATAAGCCTCAAGTGTTGTCGATGCTTTTGGTAAACAAAACAAAAAATAAAAAACAAAAAAAGAAAACAAATTTTATTCTGCTTTGCTAAGCATGTTGTTGCTGCAATTTTGGCAGCTGCTGGCACTTTCGCATACGAGTGCGTGTGTGTGTGTCGCCTGCCACTTTTGCGGCTGTCAGACAACTGTTAAATTTTTGGCGCACGACTTGAAAACTCAATTCGAAAGCGATTAACGCGCGACCGCTTGTTCCATTTGCAGCAAATAAAATTTCACTTTTTTTCGTTTTTTGTAATGTTTTTATTTCATTTCATTTTATTCTGTTCTTATTTGCCGCTCATTCAAAGCATCTCGCAATCCCATTGGCTGTTGCCGTTATGCTGATGTCGTGATTTCAAGTAGATTCACTTAAATTGTAGTTCCCGTGAATTTTTCGTTTTTTTTTTTTTCATTACTTCTTTTTTTCGGAACGTCCTCTTCATTTTGTCTACTCACTAGCTATTACTTTTATTTCTTTGCGCTGTCTCACCTCACCGCAAATTGGGCGCGTGGCCAAAATCTCGCCCAGCTTCCCACGGAGCCAATTGTCACGGCAATCATGTCTGTCACAAAATTTCTATTTTTTTTTTTTTGAAAACAGAAAGTGCGACAGCTTACATCATGTTTAAATTTAAAATAAAAATTTGTCAAAATATTGAGAAAAGCGAATAAAATGAAATTTAATTCAAAACATTAGCACCGCCCGCCCACGCGGCCAAGTTTGAAAAGGCGACCGACCACCGCCGCTGCCAACATCAATGAATTCATTCATTTACGTCACAGCTCCGACTGTTGACTGGCATTTTAAGCTACTTCCAAATTTTTTTTTTTGCAAAATTTATTAGAGGATTATACCTAATTGACAATGAACATTTTTTGAATGGCACTCTGACAGCCGGAAACAAAACTTTTCTGCGCGAAAAACGGAAATGACTCATGGAAACCCTCCATTGGATTTACGGCAATTTCTATTTTTTGATTCGGTTTAGAAAGATTATAATACCGTGCGACAAAAACCAAAAAATTTTAAAACACACGAAAAAAATGAATATATGCACAAAACTAGGAGCCAAATACAGTATAACTGCTTTTTTATTTTTCTCACTGACGCCAGGATTTTTGTAAAGGACTTATTTTAAAGATTTGGTCATTGTAGAGTAACAATATGGGTACCAACTAAAAGGAAAAATTGTGTAGAATTGAAAAAAATTGGTGCACCTGGACGAATAAGTGTTGAAAATGT